AAGAGGACTGGATAAAGGTCGAGAACGGTTCTGTAACGTGAATGAAACAACAAAACAAGGCCACCGACACGAACATCACGGATGTCAGGTAGGCCACGGTGCTCCTAGATCGAAGTAGGAGCCGAAACAGCACGAATACCCGTACCGAAAAATCAATGCACAGACATTACATTTGATTTTGTCGTGGGTAGTGATGGTGGACGCAACAAACTCTTCATGCTCGAGAAAAGGAGAGAGAGAGATTTACGGGTATCACAGCGGATTGGGTTCATCATTCATCGTGGATTTGGTTTCATCATCTCAGCGAAGAGCAACATCGTTGCGTGTGTGTGTTTTCGAAACAGCATCGACGGCGCTAACCGGCAGACCGATCAACGAACGGACGGCAGTCTTATGCGTTGTTATTGTTGTGTTTGTTGCGCTGTTGTCGTGCCCGTTCTTGGACAAGACGACCCGCACATCGAAAGACAGCTCAACAGAGCAGTTTTTTTTTCCGTTCTCCGTCAGGACTTCAAAAAAAGAAAGAAAAAAAAAAAACACACACACACACACACGTCCAACCCCTGCGTTCCCCCCTGTCGGTAGAATCCTTATCCTTACCGATTGACTAGAAAGTGCTGGTGTTTTTTGTCCCGCTGTGTACAAGACTGACGTCTTTTCAATGGTCAGCCGGTTTAGCGCGGTCGATGCTAATTTTGAAAACACACAACACACACGCACACAAAAACGGTATCTATCTATCTATCTATTTTTAATCCGGCCGGAGAGTAGCATGGCGTCCCCCATGACACCCCCTCACGGGGTCCCAGTTCATGGCCTTCATACTCTGTTTTCATACTCTTTTTTTTTTTGCGTTTTCAATCGCACTGAGACCAAACGACGTCTTCCCATTGGCCAGCCGGTTAGTTAGAGCGGTCGATGCTGATAATAACAACAACAACAACAACAACAACAACAACAACAACAACAACAATAACAACAATAACAACACACACACACACACACACACAACCAAAACACACCTGCGAGAGAAGGCTGGACAGGTGGTCCTCATCATAGTGACGGTACGGGCACCCGTGGTGGTCTCCGGCGGCGGGTGGGTTGCCCATGATGATCTTCAGGCAGCTGAAAAAGCAGCAACAACATCGAAAAAAAAAAGAAGAGAGAGAGAGGGAGTGCAAGAAGATCGCAGCAGTGAGGTAGGGTGGTGGAGGGGGCATGTTTAGTGATAGGCCGAGCAGGGGATGGGAACGGGCCGCCCACTACGCTGCTGGCGTTTGGGTAGTACGCTTGTGTCCTACCGATTTGCGGTTGCCATCGGAAACGAGCAAACACCTCGGTATTTAGTATTTAGCTTCGTGCTTACATGATAATTTTGTTTCCAGGCCGAGCTAAGAATAGCAACCCCAACATGACAAACAACAGCAACATGGACGGCAATTTGGCGACGAAAACCTTTTGCCCCCCCTCCCCCCCACCGCATTGTGCGAAGGTGTACCGATTCTGGTAAAAGTCAATCGACGGATACCCTGCGAATCGGGTCCTCCTTAACACTGCCCACCCACAGAATTTACCCTCAACTGGGAACCTCTTGTGGCCAGGACGGGTAATTCGATGGAAGTGTCACAAGGTTCTTTATAGGATTGATTCCAAGAGGTGTTCTCAGTACTGACACACATGGTGTCCATGGGAAAATGTCCAAGTCAGGAGAAAAAACGTGCACCCAAGGAGATTCGAACCAGTATCCTGCCGCTGACGCCATATGCGAAGGTGTACCGATTCTGGTAAAAGTCAATCGACGGATACCCTGCGAATCGGGTCCTCCTTAACAATTGTACCTCGCTTTTTTCACTGCTGTTATCCTTCATGCCAACAGCACAAAGAGAGAGAGAGAAGCGCGTACACCTGTAAGCATGCGGTGCGGGTAGTACCTGTAGGGGGTGTAGTTTGTCCGCTTTCCTTCCTTGCCGTACATGTGCCGGACGTTGTAGGCGTACTGCTTCTGGAACTGGTCCAGGCCCATGATCTTGGTGAACATCGCCTGCGGTGTACGGCGTTAAAAGGGCGGCCAAGTGGGGGAGAAGTGTAAGGTTTGGTGAAAGCTGCAGGCGTTTTTTGGTGGTACGATAATCTTGGACCGTGGTCCCGGTTTCTGTTTATCATTGTTGAAACCGTCGACGAAAAGAAAATGGTATCAGCAGCCACCCACTATGTACCGAAACAGAAACAAAGGATGGTGTATCGACACTAACCGGGACATTGGTTCTGTCTCCTTTTGCAGTCGTAGTGCTTTCCTGTTGCTGCTCCTGTTGGCGGTATTTGTGCTGGCGATGTTGCCGTCACCATTTTGGTATCATAAAAAACGATGGTGTTCGGTCTTGCCATTGTTGTTACTCATGTGACATTTCACACCAGACGTATTCCGTCCAAACAAGTACCTCCTCTCCAGGACCCGGCGCGCCTGTCTTCCGTTCTGGCCCAACCGGCAAAAGATCGCCCGCTCCCCACCCAAAACACACACACCTTCTAATCAAAATGGGTGAGGCTATTCAGACTGACGTCTTTTTATTGGTCAGCCGGATAGTGCGGTCAATCATAAACATAAAAGAACACACACACATAAACACACCAAGAAGATACGTTACATTTTTATCAGGTTACCTGCCAGAAGGCCATGGCGTCGTCGACGCTGAGCCCGGCGCCCTTCAGGAAGAGACCGTACTGCAGCCGCCCCCAGTGCTTGAGCTTGTGCTCGCGATTCAAGGCCGAGTGCAGCTGCTTCATGCACAGAGGCATCGACCTCTGCGGCGCCACGAGACGACAAAAAAAAAGGTTACGACACGAACACAAGATCGGTGCAAAGAAGGCAAAGTGTTTGTATACATTGTATGCATAGGTGCGGTTCCACTTCGTTTGGTCAAAGGAACTACTATGATACTGTAAAGGAACATAAAACAGCGACCCAAAAATAACGCATTTATAACGATTACACACACCGAACAAAAGGAGACAGGTGAAACACACACAGCGGGGGGGGCAGGGTGTGTTGGTGTCTGTGAGGAGGAACCGTGAAACACACACAGCGGGGGGGGTAGGGTGTGTTGGTGTCTGTGAGGAGGAGCCGTGAAACACACACAGCGGGGGGGGCAGGGTGTGTTGGTGTCTGTGAGGAGGAGCCGTACACACCGCAAGAGGCCCCCAACTGCAGATCCCCCAAAAGACACGATCGCCGAGATCGTACCGCAGCAGCAGCAGCAGCAGCAGGCAGGCAGAGACACGGTCCAGGTTTACAAGAAAAAAAAAATGTCGGCTATGTAGGTATGTACGTGCATGTTCGCACGACGGAAAGAGAGCTGTACGTTCGTAACGGCAAAGAAACGCTCGCGCCATCATTACTCCATGCCGCGAACGCGCGCTCGCCCGCGTGGCGTGCGCGTACCTCCGCGAGAGAGTTGAGCATCCCGGGCTTGATGTTGTCCGGGTCCGTGCCGTCCCCGTTGCCGAAGTCACGGCCCAGGTACTGCTTGCTCATGTTCTGCAACAACAGACAGACAAGGAGTGTACGGACATTAAGCAGACAAACACGTGGATACGGTGAGGTGTTACTTCGAAAGAAAGATAGAGAGCCGTGCGGGAGAGGGCGTGCATTGTCGGTGCATCATCAACGGGCTGCTGTGTGTGGTCAAGTGCTTTCTGTGCGTGTCTCTCTCTCTCTCGCATTGTGTCGCCCGCGAGGCCATGCTTGTCTTGCCCTCCTTCTCTCCTTCGGCGACCGCGGGTTCATTTGTGCTTCCTTCGGTAAGTGACGTTAGGCTTATCGTGAGGCTAACCCCCCAACAATGCAGAGCTACCTGCCTACCGGTACCTATCGGTTTCCGGAAAACACGTACTGCCGTTCTTGGACAACGTGTTGCACACCTGCAAAGCTCCTTCTCGAGCGATTTGCGGCAGAATTAAATTTGCTCTTCAAGAGAAAATGCTGCCTCGCCTGCGGAGCTACCGCCAAACCGTTGTACGGCATATTCTTCCCGTATTTTTCGCTGAACGTTCCGCACACCTGCAGGGCTAACTCCCGAACGTCCAACGGCGGTTGTACCGCAAAGTTCGCGGGAACAGCAGTAGTAGATCGGTACCGCTCTTACCTGCAGAAGGGGGCCGAAGCGGGAGTCGGAAGTGACGTAGGCGAAGTGGTTGGACGCCTCCATGAGGGACTTGGAGATGCCCATGCGGTACCTCGCCACCACGATGGTCACCACCCTCTGCACCGGGACGTACGCGAAGCCGCCCTCGAGGTACACCTAAACAAAACAAGGATTGGGGGGGGGGGGGGTACTCTCATCGCAGTCCATAGACCTCGCATCGCCACAATGACGGGACGGAGCGATATTTTCGCCGGCGCGGGCTACGTTTCACAAGGATGAAGCAGGCAAGCTGGTCATCACCCTTGCGCAAGGTGGTGGGGGGGGGGGGAGGGTGAAGGAGGCGGTCTAACTAAAAACGTGTGATCAGAAAAGGGGGACCGTGCCGTCGCTCCTTCAACATAAAAGACACCTCCGAAACTTTGAGCGTTCGATGCCTTGTCGGAGAGAACCAAGACGGAGACAGACATAACGATGAGGGAGGAGAGGGAGTGGGGGGGGGGGTGACAAGACAGGCCGACGGAAACGAGGACGTACACACACACCACCGACGAAAAGGCGCTTTTCACGTGTCCCGTGTCTCTGGCTTAGAGTAACGTCAACCAACCTGATGCAAGGAGCCAGTTGCCCCGCCCGGTCTACGCTATCAACAGACAGAAGAAACAAGAACGTCAACCAACCTGATGCAAGGAGCCAGTTGCCCCGCCCGGTCTACGCTATCAACAGACAGAAGAAACAAGAACAAGCACGCCCACGCACACGAACCTCCCTACCCGTCCCCCCCAGTCGCGGGGACCCCGCTGTCTAGGAGGAGTGTTTGAGTCATGTTTTCCTGTGTTCCACGGTGGAAAAGAATGGCGTACTATCTTTTGGGTCAGTCGGTAAACGAGGCCTCCTGCCAAACAATAGACACCACACACGCAGACGCCAACGAAAAAAAGACAGACGGATGGTTCAATATGGATCAGTCCTTATGCCAAACAATAGATATCACACAACGTCCACGAAAAAAAAAACGCAAAACGCAAAAAAAGACCGACGTATGCTCAATCTGGATCAGTCGGTGAACGAGGAGGCCTGCCTCATGCCAAGCAGTAGATATAACACAACGTACACACGCACACGCCAAACGCACCTGCCGCTTGCCGATGAGATCCGACGCCTGCCAGAAGGGTATCCTGTAGTACGTCGTGCGGTCGAACTCCATCACCGGCGCCGCCGGTATCGAGAGCAGCTTGGACCTGAGCGCGGCCTTCCTCTCTGGCGTCACCACCTCGAAGAAGAGGCCGTGTTCGGGGATGAACTTGCTCATCTCGGCGGGGGAGAGCTCCTCGAGACGGTGCCTGAACAGGGCGGTTTCCTTGAAAAGGGGGGAGGGAGGGAGACAGGGAGCGAGGGAGGGAGGGAGAGAGAGAGATAACGAGGCAGACAGATAGTACGTGTGTTATCGGCGATTCTGATGGTCGAATAGGCCGGTGCAGCAGCACCAACGCGGCCGCTCAACTTTTGTCTCCGTCAAGGCAGGATCGGGACAGTCTTCACGATGTACATTTGAACGGACACCTATGGCTGCCCGGCAGCCGACACCGCACGCCCTCTCGGTGCGCGACTGCTGCTGTCCAAACGGTAGGCCTGGTGTTGCAGTTTTCGTCGAACTGTCCTTTTGCTCGGCTGTGCAAAATTTCGCTTGGTGGAAATCTTTTTTCATTGTAATGTGAGCGATTTTAACTTTCGGATATTCGCAGTTTCAAGAGGAGAAGTGCAAGATGCCGGTCAAGGCACGACTCCTGCCAAACCATTCCAAAAACAATGTTAGAGGAGGGAGAGCGCGGTGTGCCGCTCCCCTGCAGGCTGTCTTTGCGAGCACCAGCAGCAACCACCTACGACCTTGGTAGCTTAGATATTGAGGCTCGTTAAACTCAAAATCTTCAAAGAACGTGACGCACGATTTGCGAACCCGGCTAGGAACCCCTGCACGAAAACCAGTATAGCGGGCACCTGTTAGCGAAACGGTAGGAGCTAAGACCCCCAGCCTCATCCGACACTATTGATAGAGGTTCTTAAGTGCCGGCGCTGTGAAACTGTATTGCACTGCCGCCACATGTCGTCGAACAACAAGCGCAACCTCCTCGTAAGTACCTGGGTCAAGAACCACCGCCGTAAGTCCTCGCTGCGGCAGTAGGCCAGGCGGAGGATGAAGTGCGAGATGGTGTCCTTACGCTTGTCGGCGCTAGCGCTCTCCTCGTTCAACGTGCTCAGCTTCATGTACTTGTGGAGCGACTCTCTGAGGGCCCTTCTGAAGTCGTCTCCCCGGACGTTTCGTGCCTGTGCGGTGGAGGGGGGGGGGGGTTGCGGGGAGGGGGGTACTCATGCAAGCGCATGTTGTAGTCGTTTGTCCAATGACCTTGCATCCCTACGATGCCGGGACGGAGCGATAGGTCGAGGTGCCGTTGCAGAACGCTGCCTCTGCTCTCTGGTGACCACGCACGGTGTGGCACGGTATTGGTTGTATCGTGCTGCTGCATCGCGTTGAGTTCGTTCAATCTTGCTCGGGACTTGCGTTGCAGCCTGTTGCACCAGGAAAATCAACTCTGAAACTCGCCGTGGTATTCTTGCTCTGTCCCACACTGCTCAAAAACCTCTCGCTAAAACGACATCTTATCTCTTGCTTGCTGCTGCTGCTGCTGCTGCTGCTGCTGCTGCTGCTGCTGCTGCTGCTGCCAGGCATGACTTACGTGTCGAAAAGGGTTTTCGTGTCGCTTACCTTCAAGTCTTCGATCTTTCGCAGGACCTGCAACCTGTCGAGCGCGACCAGCTCAAACTCGTCCAGCGTGATCTCCTCGAACGGTGCCTCGTTGTACATCGAGATAGCCTTGCCAGAGGAGAAAAAAAATAAAGGGAAAGACGCGCAGGCAGGCAGAACAACAGGTGCTAGGCACGTCGGTATGCAGACACACAAATAGGCAAATAGGCAGGTAGACACGGAAATAGGCATAGAGAAAGACCGGCAGGCGGACAGGCAGGCGGATACATAGACAAAGGCAACCAAGACACATTGACAGCAAACTCTACGTCTAAGATTTTCTTTGGCCCTATTAGAACCCGGTCTCGCAGCAACCAAAAGGGGCTGGGGTGAAGCGGTATCTCGGAACTATGGCGAGCAAACACTGACACTTGGACTAATGCATAGTGCTGTGTCCTACACGCAGGTCGCGGTGAACGTCCCCCTGATATCCTCGGTATCAGAGAGCACAGGACAGGCGCTTAGGAAGTTGTGCCTCATAAAGTGGGGGTGAGTTGCTCGCTGATCCACTTTGACTCGATAGACTCTAGACTTACGGCTTTGGTTACAGTAGAGGTCCCTGTTTAGTGCCGGGTGAATAGTGCCGGGGAATTTTCTGGGCACATACATACCGGCACTATACAGGGACCTCTACTGTAACTACTGCTGCATAGGTAGTAGTCGATGACTTCGTTCCTTCATCCTCCAGTCTCGCACGAGCATGATCACATGAGCGATTGATTTGGACTCATGCCCGCGCCAACGCGCCGCTCGCAAAGAACATTCATGTGCTTGGCGAACAGGGTTTTTACGTTTCGAGCTGAGTGCGTTACTACGTATGTAACATCATCATCTCAAATTTGCGGGCACTACTGCTGTAAAGTTTGTCGAGAATATGACCACATGCGAAGGCTGCGGGGTTTATTTTTCCGGAGTGGAGCTACCTGGCATGCGTTAAACGTATGAAATGCTTGGCTAAACTGTACCGGTACTCTGTACCAAAAAGATATCAAAAAGATAAAACCCGTTCGCATGATGTCTTTAAGTTGCCCTAAAATTTGAATTTCGAAAAACGACATAGTCTACACATGCCAACAACGCACACAAACGGAGAGCACGGACATATGTTACGTCGAAACACCATCCGTCGAGAACACAAACCCTGCCAACCTACAGGCAACCCAAGCCGTATACAGAGTCTACGGTGAGAAGTGCACCCTACTGCTAGGCCCACTACTGCTGCAGGGTCTATAGCGGTGCGGCTGTAGGCGCACAGCACAGCGAGCGGCACAACGCCAAAAACCTAACCACAGCACAGCTTCTGCTAGCACGAAGAGGACGAAGAACACTCCGGTCTCACCTTATGTCTCTCCACTCCGCCGACATCCTTCTTCAGCGCAGCGGCAGAGGGACGCATAGATGCAATTCCGATCATGGTGACAACCTTTCTCCCAAAGCAGAGTGCTAAGACAAGAGCTCTCTCGTTCGTGTGCTCGTGTGCTCCCTCTGATCCCAAGGCCTGGCGCGTCGGTTTACCTCCTTTTTGTCCGGGCTTGCTGAAGACTGATCACCAACCGCACGGAGAGAGATGTGAGCGTTTTGATCTCCACCTTCGGTTGAGAGCACAACTGGTCCCGTCGCACACTCGGAAAGCTTGTCGTCGTTGGCACGTTGCTCGCACTCTCTCGTAAGCTCTCGGTTGGTTGTTTGGGCGGGGCGCAAAATTCAAAAATGAGGGTGTTTCCGTCCGTCGGTAGAGACGGTACAGCCCTTCTTCGGAGATCTGCCTGACTTTCGGAGATCTGGTCGACTTTTTTTCGTAGATCTACTGCTGTACGTCCTGTCTGCTGGCGGTGGTTTGATGTCTCTGTTACCATGCCCTCTCGCAACTCCTCTCTTTCTCTCTCAGCCGGATCTGCACGCTTGAGATCCCTCAACGCTTTAGGGTTTTGGATACACGCGACTTTCACGTTTGTCCGGACTCTCATCGACTGAGAGCCCTCAACAGTAGTGGAGCGTATATCTTCGATGCCATTTTTTTTGTCATCGCCACACGGTCTGACTTCTGAAGATCTTGACCGCAGCTTTTAGGCATTGCTTATTTACAACAGCAGTTGCTATTGCTTCGAAGTCATCCTTCCGTCGAGCTCCAATATGTCCAACCAGCCTCAATACTACCGGATTACGGACTCTCTGGAATCCCTCAATGTTCGCATCAGGCTACGCAAGGTAAGCACGGTACCAAAGGTATAACTTGTAAAACTACTAGACTACCTTCTGCTGTTGCTGCGTTGATGTTTTAGGCTGGACTACTGCTGCATACCGTTCGACGCCGGTCGCCCCAGCGGTCTGGGTAGTAACCTCAAAAACCAGCTGGATTGGGAGCGTCAGCGAGGCTTCTCCGTATTTCGCGTCCATGGAGACTGTTGACGTGAACCATTTTGGGCTTGGCTTGTCCGCTGTTTGTTGCTGTTGTGCCGGCGTGCCACTGCCAACATCTCTCATATACCAATCAATGAGCGACCGCAGATATAGTAGTATTGTCGCTTTTGGTCTTGAAAACTCGGTGACGAAGTGACAAGGACTCTCGACCTCCAGGCACCTCCGACCCGATATCACTTTACTTTCCTTTTCTCTTGTCCAATAACGCACGCCCCCGCCTCCCCCCGGAAAGATATTCGGGCGGTCCATCAACACCAACACCGGAGCCGTTGGAAAGGTTCGACCAGGAAAAAAAGGGGACCACGGCGATGACGTCGACAACGCGCCCGGGTCGTTCCTTCCTGGGGACGAGGCAGACATTCGCGTCAAATGGCAGGAAAAGGTTTTCGGCCCCGAGGATGTTGTCACACTTTCGAGCGGCCAGCGTAGAGGCGGGAAGTCGCAGCAGCAACGCGCGGTTGGTCCTCCCGACAACGCTCTATCCAGGCTGGAGGTGAGAGGAGGAGAGGAGGGAGGTAAACTCGGCAAACGTGTCAACCGTGCTGCTTGCAGTGGTCATCTCTTACTTGCCCGCTGTGAGAGACAGTCGAGAGTAAGTCGAACAAGTCTGGAGGTCGTCTATCAACTCATGATGCAGTCAAACTTCAGAACTCCTCTCTCCAGGACGTTTTCCTCCCGTCAACACTGCAGGGTCGTTTTGTGTCAAACCAGCAAAAAACGAGAGAAATGTGATAACATTTTTGCTGTTCGTGCATATTGTGGAAGACTGGTTTTGAAGGTGAGTGGATTCATGGGCGAACGGCGTTGGCAGCCGCTGGGTCAACCCTGGTCACACTATAGCCAGGGCTGGTGACGCAGATGCCCCCGTGCAGAGACCGAATTGCGGCATTTTTTTTTTCGGGTATATTCCCACCTGTTGCCCCTCACGTAGCTTCTTGAGCACAAGACTCAACGACTCCAAATTGCCTGTTGGAGATTTTACAAATAGCTTTCGAGCAAGCATGGACTCAGGGCTCATCCCCAAAAGCAAGTACAGCTTGCATGGGGCTGACGAACAGGTCTCGACCCGGCCACGGTCGATATCTGCCGGTATGTTTTGGTCCGCAAATCCCTCCCATCACATCACCTTATCTTGCTTGTGATTCCAGAGGGACTATGCGGGGCACTTGGAAGACCTCCGGCGCGACGGCGTGGACCCCTTGGAGTCGCTCTCAGAGGTGCGTCCTTTCACGCACTTGTGCCCGCCTTCAGAAGATAAAATGGGCGCTTTCTGTGCCCTCACTTGCCTCCTTTGATAGAACCAAACAGGAGACATTTCAAGCGGTAGAGTGTTCGGGTGAGTGGGGTAGTGAGCAGGAAGCATGAACAAAAGAAACCGAGAAACGGCCACGTAAAGCATCGACTGACAAACGAAAAACGATAGGGCCAAGCTAACGTGTGTTTTTGTTGGAAAGGATAAACACCAACATAATTAAGTTGTCTCTTCATTCGGGCCAAACTCGAAACCCAACGTCAGGTGATGCTCTTCACGTACACGGACAAGGACGGCTTTGTTCCCCCTTCCGACAAGGCTGGCGCCGCGGAAGGGGGGCTCACCACCGGGGACGGCGGGCCGTTCAGCTGCCTCGAAGAAGCGGTGACCAGCATGCCTCGCACGGTGGCAAGTTCTTTGCTCGAGACCGCGAAGACGGCTGCAGGCGGGGGTCGAGGCGCAGGCGGAGGCGGAGCGAGTGGAAGGAATAGCAGGGCCGGGGTGTCGGACACTGCAGCAGTTATTCAAGCGCATTTAGCCCGCGAGGACAAATACAAGGTGCTACTTCGTGCTCGTCTGTTACTGTTGCGCACATCTTGCGTTAATACGTGAATATCGCGGGGGCACGAGGGAACGTAGTTGATACGGGAAAGACTTCTCGGCTGCGTTGCTGGGTAGCTGAGTGTAACGTTCGTGGCGTTCCACAACCATGGCCGGGTTTGCACTACTTCTGTTCAAAAGCAGTGAAAACACACGTGGTGTAACAAATAATACGCACACGAACCGGTTCAATCTCAGTCGCACATCCGGCACTGCCACCCCGCAGGTCATGTACATCATGGCAGCGGTGGATGTTGATGTTCGCGAGGCCACCAAGGTAGCCAAGTCCAGAGCGGCAGCGCCTGGGGGGGGTTCTCGGTGGAGGCAGGGCGAGGACGGGGTGGGAATTCACGCCCACGAGCAGGTGGTGTGCTCCATCAAGGCGCACCAGAACGGGACGCTAGAGATTGCACCGGGTGCGCCTTGCTTTGCAGCTGATGCGTCGTGTACCTTGTCGTGGGGTTTCTTGTGCATTGTCCGCTGGGTTCAAGCTCCTTTTTGTTGTGGAGGACGAGTGAGCTGCACATGTACTCAATCAACTATGGGTTTTGCCCCCATTAACCTGAATAGAGCTGCCGACTCACGTTGTTATTGAATAGACCAACGGTTCGTACGATCCTATCAATTGAAATACGTATCTAGACACTTGTCTTTGTTTGAGGGGCCACCGGGTATCCATACCCTTTCTGCACAATCGACAGGTTTTTCGGCAGAGGAGCCGGAATCCGGAGACGAGGGGGCTTTTCTCACGGACCACACCCTCAAGGTGAGAAGACGGAAACGTAACGAAACAACCGATAGAAAGTACTCTCCGATGCAATCGGCACCATCAAGAAACCGAAGGCGGAGAGTAACTCGTGGGTGGAACATTGAGCCCTGGTAGTTCAAACGGGTGTGATGTGCACTTTAAACACACTTCCTCCACACTTCCGAGTACCGACCAAAGAGGAAAACAACGCAGACAATTGCAACCTTTTACATGCACAACTTCACTATGAAACGGAAAACCTAACGCTGACCATAACAAACATGTGCCATACAGCGTGGTCATCAAGCACATAGCTCAACAACCGGGATCCCACGGTTGTGTGCATCGAAACGTTTTGTCGAACCGGATTGAAGATGAAAACTCCATACTCAACGTAGTTCGTCATTCAAAACGTCCGCTCCTGATACGTGTCATAGCTTGTAAGAACCAGACCTAAGTAACGAGGCGTGTACTGCCGTAAAACCGCCTAGACCTTGACGAGAAAGTTTGGAGCAATAGCTTTCAACACCCCCGCCGTCCTTGGCGATATCGTCGTCACTGTGCATTCAGGTGATGGACAAGGAAGGCGCCCGCCTTACCACGTATCGCTTCACATCCCCCTCCGGGGGAGTGTTTTCCTACACCGTGGAGAACGACTCTGAGCCGGGGGGCGGAGTGGAGGAGATAGAGGCCTGGGAGGCGGAAGAAGCTTCGCGAGACCTGTGGAAAAAGGCGTCGCGGCAACAGGTGAATGGCTGGCTGCCTGGTTGACTGACCGTCCGTTTAGTCGTTTTCTGAGAAAATGCCGGGTGGTTAAGTCTACGAAGGTAACATGCCAATGAGAACCGGTGCAACACGAGTTCAACAATAGTGCAGCACTACAAGAGACACCAAACCGGACTCCATTGAGCTTGTGTTGGGGCACTAAGGGATGGGGTTCCCTGCTCACGGAAGGAATAATTGATTGTTGCTTTCACGTACCATGTTGACGGAGACGGAGCCAAGGCCTCATTGATACTGTATCCCTTGGGGCAATACGTGGATGCTTGAAAAACACACCCGCCCGCCAGTTCTCAGAAAGGAAGACTATCGAACCAACGTTAGTGGAACCATCGATTCCACTGTGTGTTCGTATTCGTAAACACGAGCGTTCCTTCTTCCTTTCCGCGGCATCCCTTGTTCCCCGTGGTGTGCACGTTCCTTGTGATACAGAACGCGGGGACACAGCTCGTCGGCGCCCCGGTGGCGGGAGGCGCTGTGGCCTTGCACGTCTTCATGGAGGTGAGCACGATGATGAAACAAGAGGTTGGTTTCTTGTCCATTCAATACCCTCTCACTATCAAGGGGCCCTCCGTGTGGAAACTATGGCCCATCCCCAGGCTCGAAGTCACTTTGGTCGGAGGGGGGTGGGCGCGGGGGCAGGAAGTCTTAGTACAAACGTAGTCCCCGGGGCGTCCGCAACGCGCTCGGAACCTCAGGCAGAACCAGTGTGTGTGCCCAATTGGAGGCTATGTCTGCCGCCTAACGGCCACTGCGAGCTGGTGTGAAGTAAACTGTGCAATTCTGTGCGTCGATTTTGGCCCGGGGGCGGGGTAGGGGGGGGCGTACTCATGTTTTGCATGCCTTAGCGGTTAGGCCATTGAGACCACGGGGCGGGGTGGGGGTGGGGGGTTGGGTTGTTCCTTGGTTTCGATACGGAGGGACTCTTGTCAGCATCCCAAACGCTATGACACAACTCCCAAGATGCGGCCACCGCAAAGCCTTCAGAAGTTGAGGGAACAGGCGGCTTGGAGAGACAACGATGTGAATTGTGAAGTGCGGCTTCCGACAATCAACGATACCTCTTACCAAATCTGCAAACGCTTCAGATCGTTTCCGCGAGCGGTTTCGCGGGAGTTGATCGTCTGTACACGGAGTACGCCCTGTGTCTGCCTCGACACTGGACCATGGCGGACGAAGAAGGCAGCCGGGGTGCAGGAGGAGGGGGAGGGCAGCACGGTAGCGGGAGAGGGGACCGGGGAGACCACACGTTTGCTTGGGAGAACGGAGGAAACGGCGACGGAAGTGGGGATTTTGCGGCAGGAGGAACCACCCAGGTCAGAGTGTGGCACGGACGAGGTGGTCGGTGGTAGCCGTGTGAAATGGTCGGTGGTTGCTGTTGGTTGGAGGGGTCGACGAAAGACACGAATGCGGTGAGCGTTTAGGCCTAAATCCTGTGCATAGCACTCGGCATCGGTACACACACAAGAGAGAAAGCCTCACCTTGAACAAGTACTTCCTTTTTTCGTTGCGTTGATTCACGCTCTTCTTCGACGAACGAAAGCACAGGTGGCCTCACAAGCCTATCCACTCGCGGTCCCGCACCGGTCCGTCCGCTCTGCCACCACCACCACGACCAGAAAGAGCGACACCCGGAGCGGGCTTGGCCATGGCACGTCATCAGCTTCGGTGACGACATTGTCATCGTCTTCCACCATCAACACCTACGGGAACTCCGCCATGCCCGCTGCTTTCCAAGCACCGCCAAAGATTGTCATGTCCGGCGCCGCCCTACGCGCGACCTCTGCCATTCTCCTGTGCTTTCTGGGACTGCTCGCGTCTCTCGGGGAATCCCCCCTCTTCTGGGTGGTGCTTGGCGGGGCCGTCGTCGTTGTGGCGGCGATAACCGGCGGCGGTAGCGGCGGGGGGGAGGGGGGAAGCCCCGTTGCGCATTTCGGGTTTCCGGCGGAGTTTCATTTGATCAACGAAGAGGAGGGGGAGATGGCCGGGATTGGGGAACGCCCTCAGGTGCGGACGTTGCGTGTTAATTTCTGTTTGTGCGAACTCTTCGGCGTGTGCGGGGTTGATCAAGAGTGAACATGGTACGTGTTTCTGCTGCTACGGTTCGAAGCCACTTTGCTTCTGGTGCTAGACAAGACGAAAGCAAAAGAGTACAAACAATAGGGTTTCAAACCAGCAGAGTTGACTCCGCTGTGTGCTTTGCATGTCGGTGCCGAAATATATCAACTATCTACTGGTGCACGCTACGAAACTGCCCATCACAATTGGAAGAAAAATCTCGGGACGGATACGCCTGTTTTTTCCGACAACTGACGCACGCCCTTTTACACACGCAATGCGACGGCGACAACGACTCTGCCAGATTTTGCTGGCTGTGTCGAGCCTGGACGGCCTCGCGAGACATCGTGTCGAGGGCTACGGCTACGTGTCCTTTCCTAGACAGCCCGGAGCGCACGAACTACACATCAGGACGTGGCGCCCGGTCTGCAGCATAAGGACCCATCTCCAGGCGAGAGACGAAACGAAATCCCCTTGGGGGCGGGAGGGAGGGGGTTGGTACTTGTTTGGGGGTATTCACCACTCGAAAAATCTACGAAGATCTAGGGGGTTTCATGTATGATTGTGGTATGTATTTGTCGAGGGGCGATCCCCCTTCTGCGTGCATGGGCAATCACACCCTGGGCACTCGTAAATGATACAAGGTCTTGAGTCAACCTTCTCTTCTCTGCGCTTCTGGCAATAAGCTGCCCGCCTCCAAACAATACTCTCACAGGGGGGGGAATCCGTGTCAATCCACTGGTGAAATACGTGCGGGACGGCGTACTGTGATTCCGTTGTTCTTTTTCGAACTTCATGGGGTAAAAGATTTTTCTCAAAACACTGGATGCTGACGGTCAGGAATTCGGATCCTGGCTCTTGTTCGTGAGAAGTATGAAACTTGGGTTGGGCATAGCTAAGGAAAGGATTACTGAGCATCGCAGGAGCTATATATAAGTTGAAGGCCAGCACTGCTAAGAGAACCTTTTGAGTGCTCCCAGCTGGCACGCCCGAAGTACACAGAGAGATGTTTCTTCAGGTGGCCATGAAGGGTGAGGATATCTCCCCACCACAGGTGTTGCCCTCTTGCGCGAAGAGCTTCGACAATATCAGGGCGCATGTTTAAATCGTTCATTTCGTCGAGAAAAAGCGTGATAAACTTCTTGGTTTGCAAACATTCTCGTTTGCTTATTTACAATACCGCAGGACTTCTTTGTTGGGGGCGCCCACCGTTTGCATGACCCGCGATATGCATCAAAGCCGGGGAGCTTCAGGGGAACCTTTCTCAGCCGGTTCGGCTTTCGAACCGAAACATCAGGGACTCTGCGAGTGAGACTGCACCTCGCAGAACAGGTGCGCGTGGGAAGGCGCGGCAGGGGGAGGGGCATCGTACCCAACACTAGCGCGACATGTGCGGTCGTATCGCAGGATTAGTCTGGTGCTTGCCGGTTTCATGGTCCGCATGAGCCACGGGAATGGTAATCTCCTCTTGAGGAACGATAAAAGTCTAGGGGTGAATGTAGAAGGCTTCGTCGGCTTTATTCTTGCAGCAGCGTCCTCGAGTGCAACATGCTGACAAACGAACATGCAGCGTTGCTGGCACGTTACCTTTGCAATGACGTTGGCGCAACATTGCCGCCTGATCCGCTACAACCCAGGTCGAACGACGACAGTAACTGTCACCAAGTGAGTCCAAACATATTCGTCACACGGCTAAATAAAGCAACTACGTCCACGGACGAACCGAGTACCACCTTAAGTCTTTTCCGCCCAACATCCATTCCCCCCAACCGCCCACGGACGGACGTGAATCAAGCACTTGACTACTCTTTGGAACCGTGAGTGTAAGTGACGATGCTCCCAGGCCAACCAATAATGACCCACATTCTGAGAAATCCGGTATTTCAGCCTTTCCCACAGGCCACGATACCTCTACCGCTCGTCTATCCCAAGCCATAAAAATCCCAACCATCGCCACTCATTACCGACGTCTTTTCCGCGTGTGTCCTCCCGTGTTCAGGGACGTGTCCGCGACTTAAGGGCCGAATCTGGAGGTGAAGGGGGTGGTCCGACCATCGATCTCGCGGGCACTCGCACGGTGAAGGAGATACTGCGCGTGGTCAACGCCAAGCGCATGGGGGTCGAGATAGGTCGCCGCTTCAGCGCTACCGTGGACCCAGCATCACCCTCGGCTGCCGCAGCGCCGACCACCCCCGCCGCCGGATCTGCTGCCCCGGCCGCCGCTCCAGCCGCCTCTTCCACGGCGAAACCAAGGGAGGGCGTAGGTGGGGGGAGGGGTATGGGAGGAGTGTCTGGTGGTGGTGTCTCACACGATGAGGACAACGCGACGATACCTCTGCTGGGCTCAAGAAATCCGTTTGAAAGGACGCTGGGAGGTAAGGGGACAGGAAAAATAGAGGCGGCAGCGCATCTGCTGGCGACCGTTAGGGGCCAGCTGGAGCGCTCCGAGCAACGGACGAAAGGGTCGCTGGTTGAACGTGGAGGAGCCGGCGACATGGCACCCCCCCGGTGACATGGCCGAATGGTTGCGACGATCAAGAGGAGATAGTTGCGGTAATCTCAGTCGGTGTTTATTTTTGGCCACCACGAAAGCATGGTTTTTGAGGTGTTCGGCCTGGTGAGTGGGATCGTTATCTGGACGGGTTTTCGGTCTCAACGACTGTTACTTTCGGTCAGCAGATGGTGACGACCACCACGAGAGCGAAAGACTCGAGAGGTCCGACCGGGTTAGTGCTTGGGAACGATCCGGAGTTTCTTCACTGTTGAATGAACGCGGGCACACGCGTTTCAATAGCAATTGTGTTGCCAAACAGCACCACGGGACCCCGTCCACCCAGGTTGTCCTGCTTCACCAAGGATGTCCTGCATCCCTGTCGAATCTTGTTGAGTTTCAAAACGTGGTAGTCTAGACTCACATCTTATTCCTGGGGAAGACCATCAATAACAGCAGTAGCGCTTTAATCCGGGAGGGATCTCGAGCAGCACAGGCGATGCCAAGAAGAACATACCATGGACGACCGTCCAGTCGTTGGGTAGACCGCCCTCATCTCCGCCACGAAGCATTCTCCCGTGGGCTTCACGTCCGCGTTGGCCTACCTCGAAGACAAGTAGAACAGCAATGCACATATACGTCTACCGAATGAATTTTGCCCTGGTCCCTCTATATTCTCTACTCTGCTGTTGGTATCGCTCCCGTCTCTATTATTGACAATTTATGTCTACGCTCCTGGCGGGTCTTTTGCAACACAAGCTTTCTCTTGTCTGTCCGTTGCCTGGGTTTTACACCGTGTACGGTAGACCCTATGAGTGAGATCACTGCCCTCATGCCCAGAAGCTCCCGGAGACACAACTACTCGACATTTGAGGCGTACAAAAAAAATCTTGGAACCCAACACTCTCAGTGGTCTTCCGACGTGATTAAGCTCCGCGTTCCGACAATGCCCAAAGACGGATCCCCTAACCGCCCCCTCCGCGCAAGACCACTGGCAATATCAGCGTCTCGAACATTCCATGTCATCCTCGCGCTGTCGCCCCTTCGCTTCCACCTACCCCCCCCTATTCCTCCCGGACGTCTCTCGCCCCTCGGGGTCACCCCATTGGGCATAGCTTTTTGTCCGGCCCTTCTCTCGAGATCACGGGATGTACTTTTCCCCGCCGATAGTCCGATCGACCCAGCCTCTACTCTAACACCCCCGTCCCATACCACGTCTCCTGACCCTCTGGTGGTTTCGGACGCGGCAGTGTCCTCGATTTTGGTGCCAGCAACCCCAGCGCAAGGCCGGGGGCGATCGATACTCGAAGAAATCGAAGCGTCAGACGGAGGTAGTATCCCACCGCTGCTGTTGCTAACGGTTTTGCTCGTAACGTGGTTGGCGGTAAGTTGGTGGCCGCCGGTGCTGTTGCAGTCGCGGATACTTCCTCCAATTCTTCCTCCGGAAGGAGGAGCGTCAACGCCCAAACCGGGTCCCGCCCAGGAAGGGGACACGGACAAAGAGAAGCTGCTATCTCGTCGCACCTGCTCCGCGACCCTGAACCGAGAGCTTATCAGCCGCTGCTTTCGATCGAGCTTTTCTCGCTCACGCCGCGACAGCCCCTCCCACTGAATCGTTAGCGACTTTGGCCCCCACCAGCGTTGATAATTCGTCACCACGAGACGATGGAAAACCGGCAGTTGCGAGCGAGAAAAGCGTGAGAAAGTATGCATTAGCGAAAGGCGTTCATGCTCTAGGTGTTTCGCCCGTAAGTCCAAGGCATGCACCCCACATTGTTGGCTCTTTGGGTGGGGGGCTAGGAGGAAGTGCGCGAGGCAAAGCCTGGACATTCGCGCGCAATTTATCCCTCCACCGCGTCAACTCTACCTAAAATTAAATTCTACTCGGCTACGTCTCACCTATGCACAAGTGGTCATGATGGTTGGTTTTGGTCTTACGCTGGGTGTGCCCAAACAAAGTAAAGGAGTTTTACGAACCTCGAGTTGAACCAGCTGCTTCAAGCGCCTAGTCAGCAGCACCAGATGCTTTTCCTGCCTGTGATACATTGCCAGCAGATATGTCGCGATGCAAACGTGTGCAACGTACAGAGCAGAACAGACAAGGTGGTAAATATTTCAGGGGTTGGTTGCATTGGCTGTCGCAGGCATAAAGACAACGTCGTCGATAACGTGTGAACGCTATCAAATTTACGAACGTCTCGGCAGGTCCATCTCGAGGGGAAGGAACTGCTGCTTCATCCTTCTCGCGTTCAAACTAGACGTAGCACGCAGCAGAGAAACTTCTGTGTGACACCCAGGATCAGAGCTCCTTGGCTGAGAAGACCCGACGGTCGTGCAGGTCACAGAGTGCAAACGAAACGCAGAGTGGCATACAATGAAGACAGGTAGAGAACCATGCATGCCATATTCACCCGACACCGGCTTTTTTATTTCGCAATCATGTTGATAAGTGAGTTGCAACGCGATAGGCTTGATTGTTCAACTGCAGCCAAGCGTACACGTGAAAATCAGAAGATGACGTCGGCGACTCACGAAACCGTGCATTCTGACTGATCATCTTGGTCGTCGCCGGCACCTCGCCGCTGCTGAAGCCACTGGTGCCGAGGCAGGGGATCTGGTTGCTGGCGGTGCGGTTGGGATTCCGGCTGGAGCTGCGTCTGTCGTCGAACACTCAGAGGTTCCCTCACGGCCAGGACGCTGCCTACAAGCTCGGGCGTGGGAAACTGGAACGAGGTCGATTCTGCCGCTCCGTCCATTCCCCGTCCTCCTACACCACCATCGTACTTCGATTGTTGGTCTATTTTCGCGTCCTTGCCTATGCCGCTGCCGTTTCGGCAGCCGCATGTCGGTCTGGCGCGTGTTCGGCCGAGTTCTGTCGCCGTCGACGACCTGGGTTCGTTGCCAGCCCCCCCTCCCACTGGTCGCGGTGACTCGGTTGATTTTGGCAAGCTACTTATTCTAGGTGTATGGCCGAAGGTCTCCTCGGTAGCGATGGGCTCGTTTTGCGCGTTGTCGATTTCTTCAGCTCTTCTCCCTCGGCTTGCCTCACTTTGATCACGACCGCTTGAATTCCGTTCTTTCCTAAGTTCCATTCCCGCCTCAACCCCTGCCGCCGCCCGCGCCTCCTCCGCAGCTGTTGACGCCTTCTCGTGAACGATTAAACTCGCGAATTCATCGTTCGCTTTCGGTAACGCGGTCACGGCTCCCGTAGAAAGTTTGTCCGACTCAGAGCAACCAAATCCGCCAGTTTGCTTTGGGTGAACCACAAGCGTTTTCGGTTTGGTGGCTACTTTCTGCTCTATCTGATGCGGGTACAGCTGCGGTTCTCTCGCCCCGTCGTAGGCAGACCTCGCGTTCGTAGCGATGTTTTCCCTCTCGTCGGCGACATTGTTGTCGAGAAGTCCGGAGCAGTCTGTGAAAGACGGACTACGGTAAGTCTCTTTGTCGCTTTGAGTCAGAGACCACCTTTCTCCCGTCGGACTTGCCGAGACATCGCACAGAGTGTCCAGTCGATCCTCGCCCCGAAACCCGGTTGATGCGTTTTTGTCGCATGCGCTGCTGTGCCTTCTTTGGCTGCGGCCATGAGGAGGACTACAAGACAGCTCCCCTCCAGTCCCCACTTCGCGCTGTCCCTTGCATACGCACCACTTCAATCGTACCAGCGAGGGGGATTGAAACGAACGTTGTAAGGTTGCACATCCACACAACACGAATATTGGCGAGACCCTCGGCTTTCTCTGGATTACTAGCAACAGAATGATGAAGCCGCCCAGAGTGCATAAACACATGTTGATATTCGTGGCGGCGTATCGCTCAGGGACACCAGAGGCAAACACAGACAAGGAGAGGGCGGACAAGGGTCGGATAGGTTTCGGCGTGATCTGGACGGACCGTTGTGATTTGAATTGAGCACGTTCGCACATTTTGAGATTTGTCAATTCGTCTCACGTGCTGCGCGTTGGAAAACCGTCCGGAATTGGTGCCTGTGCCGCATATGGAGCATGCAGCGCCTCGCTGGAAGTTACCTCTCATGCGTTGTCGCCGCACCTCACGAGCCACATCGCTCTCGTTGCTACTACTGCCGTTGCTGCCACCTCGGTCTCCCCCTCGATAGCCATGAACACCTCTGTTCGCCCCCCCGCGTCTGCCATTCTGCTTTGGGGTGGGCCATGCCGCCGCGGCAAACTTTATGATGTCAGGGCGTTGGCTATTGATTCGTGCGGCGTCTTGGTAGTTCTGCAGAGGCATCAAGTCAGGACCGAGCCACGTACTACGACGCAGGGGTTCTCGGTGAACGGACTCCCTTGGGGCTGCTCTCTTGTTGTTGTTGTCGGCGGCCGCCCGAGCGGCTCTCGTCACATTCGTGCAAACACGAGGTGAAGACGTGCTTGTCGGGGCGATTGAGCCTACCACTATCTCGTCGTCAAGCTCGTCATCATAGTGTTGTTCTTGTGGGGTCCCATCATCGGCCAGCTTGAAAGGACTAAATGACCCTTTCCAAACAGCCCTTTCGCTTCCCCATCTGGTAATGCCGCTGTCGTTGGTATCGTCGTAAGTATTTTCCAAAACGATTGGCCCGGATTTGTGATGCTCCAGGGCATGATGAAACAAGAACTTGGCGCTCCCCAGCGAGTGAGCCCGAGCCTTTTTCTGTCCTCGCTCCTCCAACTCTCCCTGGTTGGTATGGTAGGGGCGTTGCTGCTGCGGCAGCTGCTGCTGGGTTTTGAGGTGCTGACAAACTTGGCCGTCGGAGTTGACAGCATCATCAGAGGTTCGTGCTTCAGATGTCATCATCATGCACTTGGCGTGGCTGTCGCCGCCCCCACCGCCTTTGTTGTTTTGGTCGACGGTTAATATGTTGTTGTTGTTGTTGCTATTGCTGTTGTCGACCCCCCTTGCTCTGCACCCTGAAACTTCGTCGGGGAGGAGGATCACCACGGGATGCGCACAACAAGAGGAGAACTCTCTCTCCCAAACAGCTCGCTGTCGCCTCTGCCATGGCAATCAATGTAGTAGAGCAAGCGAACGAGTGAGACCTGTGATGATACTGTTTACCTACTGTAGCCCTCTTTATACTGCGCATCGTGCTGCTAATGTCATATCGTCCTCCATTGACAAAACCAGAGGCATCTGGCTCTTGCATGCACCACAACCCTTGAAGCGTATGTCAATCTATGTATAGACCGGAGCAAAAGGCATCACGACAGTGTCGCAGAAAAGGTTGCGTTGCTAAAATGGCTGTGAGATACCTACCAGGTGTGTGTAGCGATATTACGTACGGCCACCTATCTGTCTATCTGTCTGTGACTGTCTGTCTGGAGTGTGTTCCGGGGACGGACGGGCTTCGACACAGTACAGATAGATGCAACCTTACAACAACACAATAATACATACATACATACATTCATTCATTCGAATTGTTGAAGGGATCGATCGTGGAAGCACCCAACCAGGCAACTCTGCTACTATTATTGTAAGCGGGGTCCTTACGTACCTCCATCTCGGCAATGTATTGCAGATTCTTCTCTGCGGCGTAGCGCATTGCAACGCATCCAGTGAGCCCTTCTAAAACATCTCGTGCTCCTCGTTCCTCCGCCGTCATCGGTCCCCGGTACGTACGTATCGACCTCGCTCCTCTACATATGAATAGCTACACCATCTCACAGGAGCCCCACTTCTTGTTCTTGCCCCTCTTTGTTCATCTTGCTTGCTTGGCAGATTGATTGGCAAGAAGAAGAGAGGAATAACGACCTCACGTCGTCCTCGTCCTCGTCCTCGTTGTCGTCGTCGTCGTCGTCGTCGTCGTCGTCGTCGTCGTTTTCACTCTGCCTACCGCAAGGAAGGGTGCACGAAATATTACGAAGTGATGTATTTACTCCCTCCCCCCCCCCTTCTTTCCCTCGGAGGACCTCGGTCCGAAAAGAAGTCTGTCAGTGTCTTTGAGAAAACAAACGTATTTGCTCGTCGTTCGTCCTCTCTCTTCTTGGGTTCAGAGCGCACCACACCTACTATTTACTACTCTTTTTCACGCGATAAGTCGCATGTTGTGAGGGGTACTACAGAAGTATTATTATTATTATACATAGTATAGCAGTTCTTGTTGTAGGCCACACTACTACTACTATTATTGTAGTCTAGTAGTACCAGAGGTTACCACATTTCACTCACTCCCATTTTGAGCGGTGCGCTCGGATGATGATGTATGCTACGCGCACGCACGCATGTTGTATATACATGATGATGCGATCGAAAGTGTCGGTTCGATGGGCTATTCATCGTCCGTACAACTAACAGACAGCAGTCAGTGTCGAAGTGTACTCTTTCCTCTTTTTTTTTTTCTGTGTCCTATGTACTACATACACACTATATACACACTATGTGCATCCATCATTCATCATCAGCAGAGAGAGAGAGAGAGCTTTTCTATGATAGAGATGGATCCGTTGTGTCATACATATTATATATATTAAGACAAAAAAAAATCGGAATTAGACACCGCAATGCCTCAGTTCGCGGTCCACGGACCCTGTCGAGTGGGCGGGCGCTCTGTTAGGTTACCCTCCTGAAGCGGTAACCGCCACTGTCACGCACAGACGACTCTCTCCTTCCAGTGAGAGCAATCTGACGACTCGACAGCTCCAGCGGACGAACATCGACCGGCTACGAAGCATTTAAGTCCTACCCCGCGCTCGCGGTAACAGGTGGACGCGACTCCTCCCGGCGAAATCATGTAACAATTTTGCGCTTCTAAAGTGCAGTTTTAAAGAAAGTGGACGTGGATTCGATTCTCGGCCCCGGGGGTATTTTTTATCCTTTTTTTTCTCACCACACACGCGTATAGGGCAAGGGTCGCGACCGGTGTACGCAATAAATGATAAATCACAGGTGCATCGCGATGAACACGAGGACAGATTGTGTGTGCGACAACTGCAAAAGTATATTTATGAAAGGAATAAATAACGCTTTGAAAATGTGTGGGCTCCTGTCGTCTGTCTCTCGCCAGATCGGCCGATCAGTGTGTGCGTAGATTCGTGATTCCGCCGCATTTTTGTAGCGGTGATGGCTGCAATCAGATCACAAGTGTTCTTCCTTTCCACCGCCACACTACGACTGGCGTGAAGAAGGAGCCTCATCAGCGTCGTGGGAGTGCAGATCTTCAAATTGGTGAGGGGGGTATTGCGAGAGCTACAACAGCAGTCCAGCAGCAAGGGCCAAGAGTTTGAATGGAAAATGCTTCGTTCGTTCGGGTATCGGATCCGCCACTGCTGTGGGGCAGAGGGGGAGTGCCTCATTGGAGCGCCCCAGTCGACCGTGATGAAGCCTTTGCTAGCATGCAGCCACCACCCTTCCCTATTTCACGGTCACGGTGGCTCGAATCGCGATGGTTTTCATGGACCACGATTGTCTACATAGGCTTTCATTATAAAAACTATCATCACACCGTGTACACCTGGGCATCCGTTACTGCTGCTTCACGTCACGTTACCCCTTTGGAAGCACAGCGGGTGCTGTGCGCCGGTGTGTACATAGCCCCCGTGGCCATGCGCTGTTCTTGCTCTCCGTCTGAGAAGCTGCATGTACTCTGAACGAGACCGCTGTCTTCGGCTGGACCCTGTATTTATATCGTAGTTCGATACTGCTGCTACTGCTGTGGACGCCCTCGTGTGTTGGTAAAGAGGGTGCTGCTGTGCTGGGAATCGTAATCGTTCTGTTCGTCCATTTCCGCAGGGGGGGTGCTCTCTTGGCTCCTCTCGGGCTGCTGAACGTACAGCTCCGCCCCACACAACACAGCAAGTTGGCAATTGAAGAAATGCCTGCACTGCTACAGTCTTGGTTGACTCTTTGGGTTAGGTTGACTTGCCGGGTTGATCGAAAAATTATCTCTGGTCCACTTGTTTTTCGGTTCGCACCAAGAACGGCCTAACAAATCGGCCCTGCCGTTACGAAAAATGGCCGTATGCAGAGGTAGCAACACAGCCGTCTTCAGTAGACTAATTGTTTGGTAAGTCATTACAAGGAAGCCCATTCACTTCTTTGGCTTGTTTGGCCAACACCGTCCTCTCGCGGGAACGTCTACGGCAGATGATCAGATTACATGTATGTCGTCCCGCCGGCTTCCGCCGTACGCGAATCGAAACAAATTCCTTGCAAAACCGAAAGCTTGGCAGCACCATTATGCATACAGCAGTACCGGTAGTGTTTTTATTTGGCAGTGTGTACCAGTACCCTTTTTTGTCTCGACTGACACGGCAACATCACCCACCCACCTCCCCTTCGAAAGTGCCACACGAGATAGCAGCAGCGCAATCGGACGAGCGGACGCGAAAGGCGGCTTGGGAAAAACGGCGCCACGGGGGGTCTTAACACATCGAGGCAGGCAGCGGCGGGCTTCAACAAACAGCAGCAGCAGCAGCAGTAGAAGCCACCATGGGTGTGCTCGACGTGGAGGCGGCGAGGCAGTATGTGTGGAATTTGCCCCAGATGTACCGGGAGTGGTGGCTGAACCTGGTCCGCGAGGACCCGGGCCACGTCGTCGTCGAGACGGCGCTGATCGCCTTCATCGTCTACATCCTGTTCTTCAAGAAGACTCTCAACCCCAAGGTGCCAAAAGCCTTCCGTCCGTTTGTGTTGGGACACATGCGTGTTGTGGTTCTGTAGGTCAACCCCCCCGTGACCCTGAACGTATGTGTGTGCAAACGTTTGTTGCGTGCTTGCTAACCCTAATCCGTGGGCCAAGCATTTGCCCTTGCAACAGCAAGCGGGGGGGAGCAACAGCAGTGGTCTGCTGGTGACCCCCGTGACCCTGACGTTGTGTGTGTTACACGTATGTTGGGTTGTGGTCCGTTGGTTAACACCCTGACCCTGGCCTTTGTGTTGTGTTGTATGTCCGTAGGTTAAGAATCCTGACCCTGGAGGTACTGGACGAGAGCCTTCCTGTTTTTGCCCCGAGCCTACGCAACGCGACAGCAGTAGCGCGAACGAACTCTCATCTGACCTTGCTGCATGTGTCGATACCAGCACTACTCGAACACCCAACCGGCAGGTTCAAAAGAAACCACCAACGACCCAACCAGCCTCAGATCATCCTGCCCTTCTCATTTGGGGCGGAGCTAGATCATTAGCCTAACTGCTGTAGGATGCCTCACGTCAAATGTCTTTCACGATATCAGCGTGAGGTGTTGACACGACCTCTCTGGGCTCTTCTGGCGGACGCACAGCAGCAGGTTATGTAGCGCTTGCCTTCGCTCTGCCGATGAAGCGATCGAGACGGCGCCCATAGGCTTTCTGAAAGGCTCCTTCCACCTGGCTGTAGCTACATAGATCTTTCGAACAAATCCACCGTCCCATTTCGGTGCGTTCCTGTTGAGGTAAACCGCACTTATCAACTGGTATGCATAGCATCCATCGCTACTTTTGCAAGGTTTGTGTTTTGATGCCGTTACGGGTTTGCTCACTCCGTGCATTGTTGTGAAAGCAAGCGATGTCCAAAGTCAACGTCTTCCTTCGGTTGTTTGTTCTTTTCAAAGTACGCCTTGATTTTTATTTTTTTTTGTCTTCACTTCAAATCAGCGCTCACAGCGCTTGTGCCGTTTACTCCACCCCAACCCGTGGTCACACAGAAGGGCCCCTCTCTACCCTCCCCTCCTGATGCGCGTTTATATACATATATATATACGCAGGACCTGTCCAAGCCTAACTTGTCTAGCCGAGAGATCGACGAGATCATCGACGACTGGAAGCCGGAGCCGCTGGTGCCGCCGCTCACGGAGGAGGAGACCTCCGAAGCAGAGAGCATGCCGGTGAGTCAGTCAGCGGCGAAACCTCCTCAAAAAAGGAAAAAAATCTTCACGCTGAGGGTGAAGAGGATTGACAAGAGTTCCTTGTGGTGGCAGTTTTTGTATGGCCACTCACACGCTCCACTCTCCGTTCAGCTGCGGCGTTTTGTTGTGCCATGCCCCGCCCAACACGAACCCCTGACAAAAAACAATATTCTCGAATTCTCATTGTACAGAACGCGCCCGTACTTAAGAACCTCTTGTAGTTTCGGCCGAGGGTGGGGTTCTTGTCTTCCTAGGGTCATGCTACGAGTGGTCGCTACATAGGCTTTGGTGTAGGGGTTCGTAATCGAGCTCACAAATGGTGCTCAACTTCTTGAATTATTTTTCGATTTTTTTAGGCTCAATTTCTTAACACTCCTGGGTTCTCAAGTGCGGGCGCGTTCTGTATGTATTCCCTAGAAAAAGACATCAAATAAATTGCAACAACCCCCATATACTTGCAGATTGTTTTTTTTTTTGTCTGTGCGGTGCGGTGTAATCCAATTTCATTTCGTGCAGAAAAAAACGCGGCGCGATTTTTTTGCCCCGCGCACACACTTGGCAGGTTGTCCAAGAGTTCAGCGGCCCCTACCTGCGGGTGGAAGGCATCGAGAAGCCGCTCCTAAACATGGCCAACTTCGACTTCCTGGGGATGGGGCAGAGGGAGGAGCTCAAGCAGGCGGCGGTGCAGGCGTTGGACAAGGTATGGTTTGGCGTCATTTCGACCGGGCGTTTCATGGGCCCGAGCGTCAGCCGAGAATGGGGAGGGGGTGACATTTTTTTGTTTTTTCCTCGGGGGTGCTCTTTTGTATGTTGTTTCTATTTATGCGTTCTTTGTTTTCGATGATGATTTTGCACCTGCTGAAGCACATGGTGGTGCAAGCGGTTGGTTTTTGCTCACAAAAATTTTGGTGAGATCGTGATTGTCGTGCAGGGTCGGGGCATGTGAGGGAGTCGAGCCTAGGTCTGGGGGAACGGGGTGCTCTGGGGCGGAACAGCAGTGCTGAGGATTGACTTTTTTTTGTTTTTTCCTTTGCTGCGAGCTTTGAGATAGAAGAAGAGCCCATGCAAAGGGTCTACAGGCTTTGGTCGTCCAAGCAGACGTAGGTGCGACACGGGGGGGGGAGGGGGGGTTAACGGGGGCTGGGGCGGTGGGGGTTCCGCCGCCCGTAGTTCCCTAGACACACCTATCGCACGAGTTTCCCTTCGCCTCCAGCATGTGTGCGACGGGCGCTGTTGTGGTATTCCGGATTCGATAGCATGCACTCAGGAGGTAGACTACGTGCTTCGTGTGTAGTGTCTGCAGATATGTACATGCTGTACATGTACCCAGACGGTGGGTGCGGATTCAACATTCCATTTCGGTTCGAGCTTTTGCCTTGCACGGTCTGCGCGCGGGGGTTGTTTACTCGTGCGAACTACGCGAAACTAGTGTTGTGCATCGTTGTCACCAAACGCCATCGCTTTTCTGTTTTTTTTTCGTTTTCGAAGATGCCAACGAAAGCGAAACAACTCCCACGCACAGCGCCCGCCCCCCCTCCCCTTAACACATTCGTCGCGAAAAGGAACATGTCATGGCCTCCATATCTAGAACTCCCGATCGCTCGTGTCCCCTTTTTTTAGCTCCGACCCCACCCCAAGGCTTCTTTCCTGTTTTGTTTTGTTTTCGTCGTGTTTCGTAGCGCAATCGCTGCTATTCTTTTTTCTTAGTATATCGATTTCCGATCTCAACTTGAGGATTTTTTTTTGTTTTTTGTTTTTTGTTTTGTTTGTTGTTTCCTCGTGTTTCGCGGCGCAATCGCAGTACGGGTGCGGCTCCTGCGGGCCCAGGGGATTCTACGGGACGATAGACGTGCACACGAAGGTAAGCCCCAGTCTTACAGCGGGATAAGAAACCTGCGTGCGTGTGTGTGTGAAATAGCATGGACCTCGCTAGCCGACTGGCCAATGAAAACGCGCTAATCTTGTAAGCGGGATAATAAACTGTGTGTGTGAGTTCGTAAAGACCTCACCAGCCGACTGGCCAATGAAAATGCGCCAGTCTTTCTGATGGGATAAATATACTGTGTGCGC